ATATATAGATATATCTATATATCTATATATCTATATATCTATATATAGATATATAGATAGATATATCTATATATAGATATATAGATAGATATATCTATATATCTATATATATATATATATAGATAGATATGTTTTAAATAAAACACAAAAAGATACAAAACTACTTTGTTCGGATTAAAGAAAACATGGAGGTTTGGCTTGAAATTAAACAAATGAACATGTTTATGGAACAAAAGTACTTTGCTATGTTTAGGTAACAGAAGTACTTATATATAGGCATAAAGTACTTTATGTTTAGGCAACAAAAGCACTACTTGGTTTACTTTAGACAACAAAAGTACTTCAAGTTTAAACAACACAAGTATTTGGTTCACACAGACTTTTCGGACTCATTTGAAACTCATTTGATTTTTGAAAAGCAAACGTAGTCGAGGACAAAATCTATTTCCCTTTAAACATAATTCACAAATCAGTTTGTTTGTATGAGAATGTAGTTTTTAGGAGACGAGGCTGTTGTGAGATCAACTAAATGAAAATAACAGGATTGTCCAACATTTCATTGCTGTGTTTGTTTCAATAAAGAAACATGTTGCTACTTGAAACTTCTTATCATTGGGTTCAGGAAATGTCTCGAGTGTTTACATTTAAAACCACAAAGTACAGTTTTATTATCTAAAAGTACTTTGTTATGTTTAGGCAACGAAAGTACTACTTGGTTATGTTTAGGCAACGAAAGTACTACTTGGGTATGTTTTGTTTACTAAAGTACTACTTGGGTATGTTCAGGAAACAAAAGTACTACTTGTTTATGTTCAGGAAACAAAAGTACTACTTGGGTATGTTCAGGAAACAAAAGTACTACTTGTTTATGTTTAGGAAACAAAAGTACTACTTGGTTATGTTTAGGCAACGAAAGTACTACTTGGGTATGTTTTCTTAACTAAAGTACTACTTGGGTATGTTCAGGAAACAAAAGTACTACTTGGGTATGTTTAGGAAACTAAAGGACTTTATGTTTAGGCAACAAAAGTACTACTTGGTTCGGCTAAAAGTACTTGGTTGTCAAACATTTCATTGTTGTGTTTGTTTCAATAAAGAAACATGTTGCTATGTTAACCTTCTTATCATTGGTTTCAGGAAATACCTCGAGTGTTTACATGGTCATTTAAACCCATAAAGTACTGTTTTATTATCTCACAGAATGTGGTGCCATAAGCTGTCAGGATCAGAGTTATCGGTCATACATGCAGAGAAAGAAAAACCCAATCACAGTAAGACATTAACTTCACGTGTAAATGATTGAATGAATCACAGAACGGTATCTTCGGGGTCGCTGCTCGTTAAGCTCGACGCAGCGAAAATACTCCTCAGACTTTGATCAGAAACTGACGGAGACGGAGAGTGAGACACTCTGGGAGTGAAGAGACAAGTCACAAGTTTTCTGTCAACTTGACAGAGGACACGAAGGTGAGTTTTTCTGTTATTTATTATTGTAATTTGATGATACAAAGATGGGTGTAAAAATGGATGTTATTGTCTTCTTTTTGAGTGATTCTGTGGTCCGTCCTCTCAGGACCGGGTTGCGATGGCAGGGACACCGGGGAGGTTCCTGGCCGCTGTGCTGCTTCTTGTCTCCTCTGGACTCCACCGCTCCTCCACCTGTCCAGACTCCTGCACCTGTACGAGAGCTCCCCTGTTGAACTGCTCCTCCACCGGCCTTTCCTCTGCACCCCGACTCCTCCGGGACTCCGTGGCTGAGCTGGATTTGTCTCATAACCTCCTGGACTCCGTGAGCCTCGACCAGCCGCATCGTAACCTCAGGGACGTTTGGCTGGGCGACAACGGCATCGCACGCTTGTCTCTCTGCGTGGAGAGAAACCGCGGACAGAGACGTCTCTGTGGATCGAGGACTTGGAGAGGACGGGGGTGTGAGTCCTGGGCCCCCGCCCTGCAGCTGCTATCTGTTGAGAGGAATCAGCTACAGCAACTCCCACAGGGTGAGTCAGTGAGATAATGTGCTATATAAAACACATGAGCAGCAGTACATTCAATAAAGTAAAATCAAAAGTAAAAGTACTTCTCTTTTGTTATGTTATTAAGTCATTAGTAGTGATCACTTTGATGTTGTGAAGCTGGAGCTAATTTAAATTATTGATCTATAACAGTGAGTCATATTTTAGAAAAAAAAAATCTTCCTCGTTCCTGTGCCTCTCAAAAACTATTTTTTGTATATTTTCTTAAATATAATGTATTTTTGTAGTCCAACAGGAAGTTAGCGTCACACTGGTTCCCTCCACAAACAGCCAATGGGATTCTATCATTTGGATTATTGTAGAAAATAATCTCTGTGGCAAACACACAAAATAATAATCAGAAGTGCAAACACGCTGTCAAACATCCCCAGTTTTAGGACTGATTCTTGCAGCACTTCATTATGTACAGTACAGTGTACACAACAGTGCACGGTATCTTATAACGACCTGTAGACCACTCCCAACATGCTCTGAGGATAAATAGTTAGTAATGTGTATTGTCTGGGTGTGTTCCCACTATAAACATGTCCTGTTGCATCACTCAGGTGTATAAACAGGAGATAAACACTTCAGTAAGCTCAACCTTGAACCCCTTAAAGGGCCAGTGTGTTGGATTCAGGGAGATCGATTGGCAGATATGGAATATAACATTCATAACTGTTTTCTTTGGTGTATCATCACCTGGAACTAAGAAGCGTTGTGTGAGCCCTTCGGGAGGCGGAGTCCGCCATGTTGCAAACCAGACACCGTCTCTAGAGAGAGACTTTTAATGTCTTTAGTTATCTGAAGGCCACCGTAGAGGGAGGTGTATTCAGATGGGATATTTAGTTGGGTGCAATCTGCAAGCTCACCACTAGAGGCCACTAAATCCTACACACTGCTCCTTTCAAAATGAAGTGCCAGGCCTTAAAAAGAATATCTCCAATATTTCACAAACAAAAGCCAACAATAGGGGCATGAAGATGACTTTAACTTTGTGTATCAGAACTTTGTTGGGGAGGCTTTCTACTGTCACATTTACCATCTTGTGAATTGAATCAGGTAAATTACACATAAATAGCCTTCTTTTTACTTGTGTGTGTATGTGTGGGTGGTTAAAAGATAATGCATCCGATAGTGAAGTTGCACAGTCGACACACATGCACAGTGTATGTGTATGTGTACATTTAACTGCCCTCCGTGGTGGTGTTGTTCTATGAGTCACACCTGAGAGGTATGTTGTTTACCGAGTTCTGCCTAAAAAAGGTGGTCTGAGGTTCACTAATTGGTCCAGATGGTAGAATAAGTAAGTTACTGTCCTCTCATTTGATCCTCGAATATAAACAAACCACATGCTTTATCTTTGGTACTTTGCTCCGCTCAGAAATGATTTAACCTCCCAAGATAATGACACCGTTCACCCTTCAGTCACAGCTTTTATTGACATTCCAGCAGCTCAATTATAGGTGTAAACGCGCAGCACAACTTTAAAGTTTCATGTTATTACGTAGAATTCCTGCTGCTCGATTGAACATGTGTGTTTCAAAAGAAATGCATTCACCGTCTAGCCTTTTTCTTTTTTAAAGGCGCGTGTGTGTGCGTGCGTTTGTGCGTGCGTGCATGCGTCCGTCCGTCCCATTTACTGAGCGAGAGTTGACAGTCATAGACTTCTTTCCTTCTTGGTATTCAGCTCACAGTGCCTCTCTAATGAGCACAGACCCACAGTGCTGTACTTCAGCCCAGCAGTCTCAGGGAGATTGTCTCGGGCTGCTGAAGAAGAGGAATGAACACCGCAGAAGATACAAACTGTAGAGTGTTTCACAGTGGAAATAAACCAGAAGTATTTGGATTCATATTCCAGTGAAGGCATGTTCATTTATTCAGACCCTTTACACTATTAACTATCTGGAAGTCCAGAGAGAGAGAGACCTATAACATAAGGTTTATTTCTTGCTCCCTTTGTATGGAGGACTAAAGGTGGCATTATAACAAATAAATGAGTAAATAAATAACTCTATAAATAAATGAAATAATAAAGAAAGAAATGTAGAAATAAAAGTCTCACCTATCGAATAAATGTGCAGGTCAATTTAAAAAAGAAATATGCTCAGAATTAGAAAATGGAATAACAAACAATGCATTTATTTATTTGACATATTTAAGTCAACTTAATTTTATATTCATTTATTTTCATATTTAATTTTCTTTTTGTTATTTATTTCTTTTTACTAATTTCCTTATTTATTCAAATGAATAAATACAGTTTACCTAATTATACCATATAATTAATAGCCTGGTGTACACTGTTTACATAGACATCGACTGCTGCTATTAATCACTTTACTGTCACTTTACTATGGCATTTGTCTTCAAATTTAGTTTAGTGTCTATTTTTTATGCAACCATTTTTTTCTTTGTTACTTTCTGTACTTGTCATTTATTTCTGTCCGTGTACTGCTGCATCAATAAATGTTAATCTTCATTTTATTTATTTATTTTCAAACTAACCAGCACATTTATTTGATACATTTTTATTCCTACATCTCTTTCCTAATATCCTATTTATATCTACTTGTTTTCTGTCATCCAGGGCTGGACGGTAGCGAGTCCCTGCAGGTTCTGCAGCTCTCCTTTAACAGGATCTCAACTCTACGACCAGGAGAGCTTCGCCACCTCCGCCAGCTCAAAGAGCTACACCTCCAACATAACCTCATCTCAAGTCTCCATCCACAGATGTTCCAGGATTTAGTGCAGCTCCGGGTAACACTGATCTTTTAATCTCACTTCTTAAAAACATGCACAAAGTATTTAATTTTCCATCAATAAACTCAGTGATGCCACGTATTCTTTGTTCATCTGCCATTTTCAGAAAATCCTCCAATTAAAAGATAATGCAGCTCTTAATTAGAAAATGTTTAAGTTAATTGTTTAAGTGATCACCTTACATGTGTCAACCTCAAGTGAGTCCATATTGTGTTCTCCTCAAAGGTCCTTGATCTGAGCTTCAACATGTTGACCAGCCTCCATCCTTTGACATACCTTTCTCTGCGTAACATTGGGGCAGACGTCAGGCTGGGGGGCAACAGATGGCAGTGTGATTGCAGTATGCGCAGTCTAAGGAGGAGAATGGCCTTTGACGGCAGCAGAGGCCTGCAGGCCTGGAGCCTGGTGTGTGCCTCCCCCTCCGTCCTCTCAGGCAGAGAGCTGCTGCAGCTGGAGGACGACGACCTCAACTGTTTCAGTACTGAAAATGGGCCAGAGCTCCACCGAGATGTGACGGTCTACAGGGGCTCTGAGATACTGCTGTCTTGTGCTCCACAAGGTGACAGTCACAAGTGTACAATAATTTAAACATATAAAACAATGTTGGTATGTTTCTGCAAACCAGATATTTTGAATGTGGACATTTTTTGCATTCGATCAAAGCAACTATTATAGTAAATCAAGCAGAGCAAGTGACGTAGTATATTATAGCAACCGTTATTGAAAGTTTAAAAAGCTATAATAAAGAGTATAACAAGCGAGAAAGTCCTCTAAGGGAGGTTTGGTGGATGGGTTGAACAAAGACAGGACTCTCCAGGTGACAATTGTTCGTCAATGTTGACTTTACGCTCGTTAAGTAACATTGCTTAAATAAGTCCACCAAGGGTGGTCATTTATTGACACTAATTAAGTGATGTTATTTTGTTACGTTGGGGCTTTTTTGCTATGTTGTTTCGCTGCGTTGTTTCATTAAGGAAGTATGTAACATTGTAACGTTACGTACATACATTATTATTTTAACACAAACCAAAGTAGTTTTGATGCCTAAACCTAACCAGTCGTTTCAAAACATTAACCATGTGAAATTGTGCGTTTCTGCAAGCGTGATACTAGTCTGATATGAAGAAAAAAAAAAAAAAATGTAAATGTATTTCTGGTTCATAAACGATTACATTCAATGTATCCTGTGGTTTGCAAAAACGTACAATGCCAACAATTTTTCTGGCGATTTGATGACAATGTAGGTCTGTCTAACTGTAAATATTGTCTTTGTTGAAGATTCGGTGTGGTGGACGCCCAGTGGTGACGCATCCGTGAGTCAACCTCAGGCTGGTCTGGTCATCGGTGACATCAAGGAAACAGACACAGGAGTATATGTGTGTGTGTCTGAAAAACACAAAGTTGTGTCTGTTTTTAACCTCCAAATCAGTAAAGTAGGAGGTGCGAGAAGAAAAACTAGAAGTTTACCCGGAACCAGCCGACTAATAATCCCACAAGGAACCCTAAACAGGACCGGCCAAGAAAGGACTCTGAGAGCGACACAGTCTGACTTGGCTCTGGCTGTGTGTTTGTCTGTTTTCATCACGTTTCTGATAGCCTTTATCCTGGGAGTCCTAGCAAGACCTTGTATTGATGTTCTTTGGAGAAGGGTCACCACAAAGAACAGCTCCTCTGCAACCAACTCTGTCTCATCTGTAGAACAAAGACAATATGACAATGAGGCCTACTCCATCAGTGAGGAACCAGAACACATAGGAACTCACAGGGAGAGGAGGGTTACATTCAGCACTGTGGACTTTAGAGAAGACAGCAATGTCAAATATTATGATACTGTAGCCGCTGGCAATCAGGACCGTATCAATAATGATGCAGTGATTGAATGTGAAGCAACTGAGGCTGAGAGAGATACAAATAGAGCTGGAGATTCAGGAAGTGAAAACAGTTTGCGACAGAGTAGTCCAGAGGATAGCCAGAGAGACCTCTCAGGCTTCACTGATGAAGTCCGCACACACAAAATAGAGTTTGAACACATCCCAGATCCTGTTGAGGAGAGAGGAATCTTGTCTTCATGCTCAGATTCTTCACTATCTAACAAAGTGACCCGGGGAGACCACTCAACACCAAAGTCTCGTCAGCTGGTAGAGGACGCTGTTCAGCAGAGAGCCGACTCCTCAACAGCTACAAAAGTAGAGGTGCCACAAATTCCCATAGAGGGCACAAGTAAACTTTCTGGCTTTTCTACAGAACCTTTCGGCGATTGGTCACCACATACAAATAACACCAACCTAACGGACCCTGATCTGTGGCAGGAGAATGAAGAACAATTTGAATTCAGCGATTCTGTTCGAAGCACCTCTGCGAGGTCCAGCAGTGTGTGGAGTTCTTTTAATGATTCGAAACCCACTTTTAATAAACAGAAGATGGATGATTCGTCCAGCTCCAGCTCACACGTCAGTGAGGATGAGCCGACACAATACACTGTGAACTCAGACCAGGTGGAGAAGGATTTAGAAAGAGACCTTAAACAGGATGCTAACTTTGAACAGCAGATCCACGGTGAAGACGCTGTCAGGCCTTCAGTGCAATTTAATCAGGGTGATTACAAATATGACACACAAAGGCCTGCAGTGAGACCACAGGACTCCTTTTCCTCTCTTTCCAGTGATGGTGAGGGGTACCCAAGTTTGGCTGTTACCAGTCACGGTAAGAGTCTGAATACCGGAGCACCTTTATCCCCTGCAGCTTATTCATCCACTTCAAGCAGTGAGAGTGAAGCAGAACACAATACTAACCTGGATTGCCAATATATCCCCAAAATCAAGAGGCGTGTGGATAGCAACGCCCAGTTACCGGCATCTGATTCATCTTCAAGTGATGAGAGTACAGCTGAAACGACAAAATACACAAAGAAGCAGGGGCAAGGAGAGGTGGACATGGTGGGGCTTCCAATTACAGAGTATCAGTCTGTAAGAAATAATACCATGAAGCCACAATGGTCGGCTCTGGATCTTGTCCATACAAAGCCCATCAAGAGACGTGCACCACCACCACCTACTGATTCTTATTCTAGAGTTGAGGGTGCAGATAAAACAATGCAGAAGCAAGGAGAGACTAGCGTGAAGACGCTTCCAATTGGAGTATCTCAAACAGGAAGTCAGGACACAAGGTGGCCTGCCCTTGATCTTGAGGATACTACACGCATCAAGAGGCGTCTAGATATCAAAGCACCATCACCAC